ACAGGCATTGTCGAGGGAAGAGTTGAACACAAATCCGACCAGCAGTGAAAAAAACTCCTGAGGTAAAGGAATAAAATGTAGCTGATGGTGGTTTTTATGGTTTGGAGGGTTCAGGAGAAAAAACTGCTGGCGGTAAACATTCGACCGTCAAGAGGGGTGGGGAGAGGGTTGCACGGTATCGGGGATTATCGGACATCAATTCCTTTCATGAAGTTGGGGATAGTCAAATTAGAGGCGCTGAGGAACTGCTGTCGCAGTTGGCCAACGAAATTGTCCATGGTGAGACAGGCCATAGTGTTCAGAGACCACAAACGCCATCGTTACGGTAGAGTCGATCAGTGGATTCAGCACCCAAAATTTGTGGGAGCTTTTCTGAATGCAAAAATCGAGTAATAGTTCTCTTAAATAAGGGATAATTTTGCAGATTTGCAACACTCATAGGTAGGTTATTCCAAATAGCAATTGCATTTACAGAAAAAACCGACGATATTTAATAGTACGTGCCAGAGGAAGAAATAAAAAGACCTCACGGTGACTGTTACATCGTGGGTGGACATGGTGTCTTAAAGAGGTGAGTGGGTTAAATGTGTGATTTTACAAGAGCTTAAATAGCAAAAATAGTCCCATTTTTAATCTACGGAACCATAACGGATCAAGGCCCGTAAGTCGGCAACGTTCTTGGTAAGACAAATGTCGGTGTTCCGGGGTTAAAATTCTCTTGGTAAAAAAGTGTTGAAGGGATTATATTTTCCTCCGCTCAGTAGCACGCATGAGGCTAAATAAAAACGAACCTAATTCCAGACCAAGTCTAACGTACATTTTGAAAAGGCGCATTCTTATGTCCCTAGTTTTAAAGTTTCGAAGGATAAACCCGGTCGTTCTACGTGCTTTGGAGACTATCAAGGCACAGTGCTCCGAGAGATTGAGACCCTTGGAGTATGATACGCCCAGATCCTTAATGACCCCAGGCACATTTATGGCCTGACCTTCAATACTTAGTTGAGGTTGGCGGTCCTCGCCAACCACCATGATTGAGCAGTTATGCCAAGAGAGAGAAAGGCGCCATGTGCGGCACCACTGGGCGAAAACCTGTATATCGCTGTTTAGGAGCTCAAGCACGATGTCATGATCTGCCGGCTTATATTGATATGCAACTTTAAGATCATCGGCATACATGAAAGGCCTACCATTCTGAAATAAATCGAATACATCATTAACGAAAAGGCAAAATAAAGGCGGGCCGAGTACACTACCCTGAAAACGGTAACATAAGTTCTCAAATCCATAAGTAATATTCCACGGCCCTAAGTCGAGCATGTCTCGTTTAACATACTAAGGCTGAAATGGAAAAATAGACGAGAAAACAAAGATCGGATTTTAGGAATTAATAAAGTCGAGATCTTATCCAGCATAATATCTTATTAGGAAAAAAGCACGCGGGGGACTGCAGGGTCCCTTTTATTGATCCCACTCAACAGTGCCTTTTGTAGTTATGAATCAGCACCTGAAACAGTGCGACTGAGAAAATCCTGGAAAAGAGGAATTCAGGTCAAAAGACACAAGAACATCGAGATAATAGGTCAACTATAAACACAACCTGATAACAAAATCGGAACAAATGTTGCCTCAAGACGCGAAGTTCCTGGCGTTTTTTGATGTATTTAATACGAGCGCGTAAATGGTGTGTTTGGGCTACAAAAGGTTAAAAAATTGATACGAAATGTTCCTACATCTGCGGGCGTCGGAGAACGTGGATTCAAACATGAAAAGGCAAATCTTTTTCTGACGCCCAGTTTGAATGTTGAATCATGTTTGGTAAGTGGATAAACTCAACTAAAACATTAGACGGCTGAATAAGTTGGCCTTCCTGAAATTGTGCAAGTGAATGTGAACCCCTGGGTGTATGTTAGCCCCGGTGAGCGCATGCGGTCGTCTTTTCTCATGTCACACCATGCTTTAATTCCTTAGTTCGATGCTACTCTTTGTGTCTATTACTTTTTTTCAACACATTTTTGACAATATGAAACATTTATTAGTGTTCGTGCTATTCGTTTTTTTCGCACCGATGCACGCTGTACTGCCCCAAAGCCTGATGTGGAGTAGTGACCATTATAAAGAGCGAATCTGGGTGAGAAGCAACGACCGCTGAGCCCAATTTCTGTTTTAAAAAGCAGAAATGGCGTAGCGGTGAACTAGAATCATTTACCAACCGGGCGGAGCATATTGCTATTTGAGGCTTTCGAGAGGTTGCCTGGCCGCGCACACTCTCAACGAATTCAAAAAACTACACGGCACTTGTGACAACAAAAAGAACTGTTATTTGTTAAGAAGTCCCCGTCCTTGGACTTGTCACAAGGTGATACTCATGTCGAAGACTTTTCTAGTTTTTCATTATCCAGACTTCCTTGCGCCCGTGGAATAGCCAATGGACATATTCTCAAACGTTTCTTCCTCTAATCGGATCGGAATAATGTCTCCCTCTGGTCGCAATATTTCGTCTTTTCTTTTTAGAGATGCTAAGTAGTGCGACATAATTCCACTTATGTAAAGCAGACTCGGTATGCCACACTGACAAAAGTATCTCTTGCCATTTAACGATAACACTTTAAGAGTCTGTAACCGTCAGCTGACAGTCTACTCTCACCCGATCCTGCTATTTTGTGGCCGTCAATCCACTGCCAAATTTTAGTTTTAGTGTTGGCCACACCCGTAGCTAGACACTTCCATGACAGGTTTGGTCAAAACTTTTTCAGTGACATAAAATGTGTCAGGTCGACTAACTTTTTAAAACACTCCCATCCAGTAACGCAGTCCGTCTGGTAAGCAATTCAAAGACTGCCATCACTTTCCGATTTTGACTGACTGCCGAATTGTTTCAACGGAGGCGAGAAAAGCTGTTAGATTTTTTGTGATCATTGTTCGTGAAGGCTTGTTCATGTTCTGAGTACATGGTTGTCAGTATCGATTTTTACCGGTTCCCACCGCTCCCGCTGCCTGAAAGTGCAATGCTTTAAAGTTTATGCTCCCGAAAAAAATTGAATGGCGTCGACAGATATCCACTGTTTGCGCCCACAGTAGTCAAAATGTCTAAACTAAGCACTAGCAATGAAGTTTAATTGAGGCTCATTTTTAGTTCACGCTGGGCAGCTGAGCGTCATTATTTTCTAGCCAGAAAACCGGCCGGTGACTTCTGAGTGAGACTGACTGACTGCTTCGCTACCTTTAGGGTTTGAGGACCGTTACTTGGTTGCTAAATCAGCAAGTTATTTTTTCTGACACTAAAATATGCTTTTATCTGCAACCATTCTGCATAGCCAAGAAGCCGGTCGCCATCGTCATATCGATTACCCATAAAAAACTTCGAATACGTGGCAATCCAATTAATCAGCTCTCTCAATGCGCGTCTGGTGGAAAACGGCTCAGACACGTGCGAGGGCTGTTGTAGAATTCTTCTGCCTTATCGTATTTCACTTTGCACAGCGGGTGTTGCCAAATGTCACAGCCCCCCTTATTATGAGTTCTCTGTTCACCTTCCGTTGCATTTCGGAGGCAACACCATGTCTGGGATAGTTTGCAAACATCAGGGCAATAGGGATGCCAAACCGCACCTAGAAGTATTACTGCTGCATGGTCTGCCGCTGTCTTGTTCCCCACCGTGTCCTAAATAAAAGCTTGTTCTCTTGTCCACCGTCCATAGATTCGCTAGGTGAAATTACAGTCCCAAGATTGCACACATTTATGACCAACCATTGTGTAGACCATATTGAAGCCATTTCGCTGCCCCTACGCTGTGGCTCTGGGAACATCTCCGCCCGTAGGTACGTGGACTGCAATTCTAAAATTGGGGAGAAGGCACATTCTGATGGTATTGTTACGGGGCAGAGGTGAAGATTCATTAATAATCAACGCATCCTTTTCTGTCTGAAACAATTGGAAGGGCCCTGGAGAATGAATACAAGTCCATTGTGTGCCGGTCAGGCATATGTTTTTTGTACTATTCGGCCCCCTCAAGAAGGGCATCCCAACCGTTTCGTTGTCCTGCTCGGGGGTTGTTTCACATTTCCTTTCAGACTGGCAGCCAGGGAAGCCAGTAAATGGTGCAGAGGAAGTGACTGTCCACAAATTTGTAATTTATGTCTGACAAAGTGCACCATTGGACCATATAGCGACTATCAAGACTGAGACTGCACTGACTTCCATTTGGTTGAGCCCGTAATTATACTTTATGTTAGGTAGAAACTACAGCGACCACGTAAAATCAGTGTCAAATATAGCAGCACTCAGCAAAGAACAAGACTCCGTCTACCTGGCCTATTGACTCTGAGGTTCTCGTTCCATAGAGATTTCGGTTAAGAAAGTATTATTAAGCTAGTTTCTAGGGTCTGTTATAAGAGAAATTGCACGCTGTGATTGAGCAACAGCGGACCGGGGAGTTCATTTACGTGCTATCCCTGTGACTACACCGATTTCGCACAAGCTTACGGACAAAGATGGTAGTCTCTTGAAGTAGACGGCATATAAACCGTTTAATATGTAGAAGTTGATGAAAGTATTAGGATATTATGAAATTCCGAAAAGTTTTTTTATTATCCTTCATGTCCTGACTACTCAACAGGGAATGTTGACTGCCCTCTCTCTCCCAACCCGACACGCACAATCACAGGAAAAAGAGATACAAGCCTCTTTTGAAATACATGAGAATTTCCGCACATTTCTTGAAAAACTGGTGATGGCGAGTGTTAAGTCTAGGCAAAACACAAAATTCATTTTACTCCCTTGGAAGAACCAATATACCTCCAATCATTTGGTCTCATATTTCCCGGTAAACGTTTCTACCTTAGGAATATATTGGTATAGTGCATTCGCAGACTCCTCTAGAGCCGTTCCTCGTGCAGTGTTAAGTTTTGCCATCGACATTCCACCTAAATGTTGCATTTCCCAACTGGCTAACAATGACTGTTATAATTCATTTTTCAGTTGCTGTACCATTGTAAAGTGCAATGAAGCCCTTTTATCTGACATCATTGTGCAAAAGAGTGCGCCTTGACTACAGCTGCCTGCGAAAACTGAACGGCTCTTCGGAGGTAAGGCCCTTTTATTCAACTTACCATCCGTTAGCCGCTTGATGTTGCCAAAGTTCGCAACATTGGCATCTCAGCACACATAGATAGTGGGAAAACAACCATATCAGAGAGGATTCTGTTCTACACGAATCGCATTTCGTCAATGCACGAGGTACGTCTTCTCGCGGGCACATTTCGATTTCCCTCCCTCAAACGTAAACCATGCCGTTATCAGCCTTGGCACAGAACCCCTTTTTACGGTAGGGCAATGATGATTCTCTTGAGTAGCATCATGTTACGTATTGTACTTTGACACTCCTGTGGTGTGGTAGCTCTAGAACATTTTTTGGAAGAGGTGGGAGGGAGGCCAAGGTCACCGCGTGAGACTAACGTTTTGGACCATTGCGGCCAAGAAATTAGTTTGTTAGGTAGCTTGTTATCATCCCCAGAAACCCGATCTCTACATCTTTTGGTTTTTCGATTGCCGAATAATTTTGAATCCAACCTGCCATTACACCTGCATTCAGGGTTTGCAAATTACAAACTTCGTAGTTTCCGCGTTGGAAAAATCATAAATTTCTATACGCTATTATGAAGAAATCATATGGGGCCTATTAAATTTCGCAGTGGATATGGGCCACGTTGTATACTTTATAAGCAGCATTACTAAATAAAATCATGCGACACTTTGTGACTGGATTTTCAGCAATCTTAAAAATCTCATAATTATAAAATTAAAAAATCGGAATATACCCTTTCCTCAGGTATAAAATTTGCAGAAAACATTATTTGCTGCCAAATAAGTGCAAGAAGCAACATTTTTATGCGCGCTTTCTATAGAATATACTTGCATTTATAAGGGGCATCGAGAGTCAGTGGGAAAAATTCATACCACTTAAGAGTGTAGTTTTTGCAGGCCGCCGGCAAGAAGCTTGTTCAAAAGCCGTCACTATGACGTGGCTGAAATATCTCTGGGATTATGCTGCCAGTTATACAGCCTCGCTTAAATAATCTTTTCAAATCAGAAACGCGTTTTAGAATTTCGCTTAGCGTTTCATGGGATAGCACATCCACTATACATTAGCGTGGTACCAGCAAAGTATAGTCACCATTTCTACTTGTTTGGTTAATTTTTGAAGACTTATTAAAGTCTCGTTTTTTTCCATGACTTTCACCTTAACCCCCAGAAATTAAAGGCTGCGGCACATTTAGTACGGGGTTGCGTATTTTGCTGTATCCTACCCTTCTGTTTCATTCCTGCATGCGCATCGACCCAGGCATCCGCATAGAATGCCTGACTTCGTGGTTCATAAGTTGAGATAGACCCGTGGTATCCCGTCCTTCTAGTTTGACTGATTTTTAGACTGACTCACTTTCAAAACCGGATGCAACCGCGTCGCATCGGGTTAGCTAGGGCTCCTTTGGAAAATCGTACCCCAGTGTTGATTTCGGCCGGGAGCATACACACATTTACAAACTTGGTCTTGTAGGGTACAACATGTTCTAAAACATTTGATCACACCTCATGGTGCGAGTCGTTCGCTTTTTAGGACGGGAAATTTCTTTGTTTTAGTAACATTTGCTCCATTTATATCCCTTCAGTGATGCAAAAAGAAGTCTGCCCCGTCACCCTACGAAGTTTTGTTCTTTGTTGTATTAATTGGCTTAGTGAGCAGGATTTTCAGGACCTAATAGTCGCCCGAAATCTGGCAAACAATGCTTTTTGATGCAGCGTTAATGTGCGCTGGGTTCTCGAGTTTAAAGTGTGCGTTACTCGCAAACATTGACGAAGTGGCACGACCCTGCGTATCTACACCAAAAGGAAATTGGCGTACGTGGTTTCCCGCCCTTCTCCGTTTCGCCTCATGCTCCAGAGTATACGCTTGAGTCCATTTTATGGATCCATATCATTTCCTTACAAATCCAAGATCAGGTTTGCAATGATGCTGACTCACACTCTTTCGCGTTTGTGGCTAGGTTCGTGGAAAGGATGGTGTTGGCGCTGTCATGGATTCCAT